ATTTAATTATATAAATGTAAGATAATTTGGCAGTAAATTAATGATATGTACAGATTAATATTAAATTAGCTATTAATGGTATATGTATTATTATAACAACTATCCGCAATATTATTCGCTCTGTATTAGAGTATTTGTACAATTATATGCATTAAATCTGTTTACCAGAATCAAATTGTGTAAACTTAATATAATTTGATCTACCACTTTACTACCCTACAAATTACCCTATTTTACTTTATATTTATATATATAGTGTTTATATTACTAAAATATATATATTGCATTTTAGAGATTGTATTACCAAATCAAAAGCAGCTTTAAGTTCTTTAAATTTAATCAACCTTCCCCGGCCCGAACTTCCAAACCTAATCGACATTTAAAACCACATTTCATGGGACTTCGCAAAGAATATATTAATCCCTTACTCTTCACAGCAAGAAGGGGCAATATATTTCAAATTGCTTTACAAGGTTGAAGTATTCGACATATGTGAGGAAGCAATCCCACAACAGGTAAATTTGTAAACAATTAGCTAGGGATCTTTGATTGGTCTGCCTTGAGTTAGCTTTTAGTCAAGCTGTTTAACAATTATAAAATTTAAAAAATTTGTCATATTTGAATGACACAATTCGAATTAACATTCAAACTGCTATTCAAAATGGCGATTTTTTAAATTTTACTAGTGCAAGTAGAGTTGTTACTGTAGTGAGTTAGGGTTAGGTTAATTCAATCTCACCTTTATTAAATTAACTTTATTTCAGATTCTACTCTGGGCTTGCTTTAGCCTTGTTCTGAGTTACTTTAAATATTTTAAACCAACTTAATCTGAAGTAACTCTGGAATATGCTATTTGAGAGCTACACAGAGAAAACCTGTAAGTAAAATTTAATTCGTTAAAAATATTGTATGATTTTGACCAATCCAATTTCAAGATCAGCCTGATCTTGAAATTTGATTGGTCAAAATTGTACAATATTTTTAATGAATTAAATTTTACTTACAGGTTTTCCCTGTGCAGCTCTCATTTAATAAACAACCTTAGCTCCAAGTTGATTTTAACTAGTGCTTAAATCTGGATATATAACCAGATATCCAGATACAAAAAAAAATTTAGTATTAAAATCCGGATATAACCCAGATTACTAAGTGTTCAAGCAGATCTCAAATTAACTAAATTACTGTATTAACTGTACATACGTAAGTATATACGTACATACGATACATTGTTGTTAATGAACATGTCTATCGGTAATTGTCGCATTTTTTTATTAAATTATTTATTGATCAGTAATAAATAGCATAATAAAAATATATGACAATTACCAATAAACATGCTCATTTAGCAACACTGTATGTACATTATGAAGGGCTAATTTACTGTCACCAAAGAGGCGTGAAAAGATTTGGTTAGGGTCTTTTAGAGCAGTTGGTTTTGCCGGGCTTCAGATCAGTCTTCATTACTTGCAGGGGTTCTATCTTAGTCGAATACAATAATCCTTCTTTAACTTGGGTTGGTTCCACAGCTCAATTCGGGGTCACGTGTTATGAAATGTCAAGACTGGCTTCCAATTTTAAATTCTGACAGCAAAAGATTCAAAAATCTGGGATCGTATAATGCAATGCCACGAGGATCGGGTTATTCCAACAAAAATAGAAAAAGGTAATCAATATTTTAATCAGTTTGTGATTCTTATAAACATGATTAATTGACCTATTACTAATGTTCTTCTTTCTTATTGTATTGGGATGGGGCTACTTGCTAATTGATTATCTTCTTATCTTCTTTATATCCGGATATATCTGGATTTTGTAAACCGGATCCAAGCACTAATTTTAACAACCACTTAATAGTTGTAAAAAGAATTATCTCATTCAAGAAATTTAATATATAAGTGCTATCAAGAGAAAACCTGTCATCGGGCTTTCAAATTATATTTTGTTTTATGAGTCACTCAGAAAACAAACTAGAAACAAAATACCCGATGACATATTTTCTCTTAATAGTACCATACATACATAAACAAAAATAAATTATTTATTGGCCCTTTTTAAAATACAAGTTCCCCATTATAGCGATTACTCTAAGAGGCAAGTCACAGAGTATAATTTCCTATTTCTGGTTAGTTATAAATAAAAATAACTAAGTGTTCGTTAATTTATATTGTTTTTTAAAGTTATTTTTATTTTCTTCTACTAGAGATGGAAACTTATGTCCTAGACTTGTCTCTCTGAGTAATTGCCGTAATGGAGAACTTGTATTTTAAAAGGGCCTATTATAAGAGATTATGTTGAAATTTTGGGTTTCCATTTAAATCTATAATACTGACTAAAATTAGTAATACTACCCTCTGACTCTAATTAATTACCTAAGAAGTGATGATATGTATAAGAAAGAAAATAAAAATTCTTAGAATAATACTTTTTTAAATATAGTATATATATTATCACAGGTTGAATCAATGAATATCAGGTGCATACTGGGAAACAAGTTTCTTGTATGTATCTGATAGTCTGCCATGGATTCACCAAATACCTACTGAATACATATCAGCAGCATATTAGCAGAATATTGATAAGGTAACAAGAAGGTAGATTGATATTAGCAACATAATAGTAAAATATTGGGATATCCCGATAGCTTACTTTTAGGCCCAGAGTGCTAAGATTAAGATATTAGGGTATTCTAATATTGTGCTATTATGTTACCAATATCCTGTTATCTTATCAATATTCTGCCAATATGCTGCAGACTATTGGGTACAAAACAGAAAACTTGTCTCCCAGTATGCACCTGATTCATTAATTTAGTCTGTATATATTAGAGCAAATATGTTTAATGATTCAGATATATTTAATGAGTGGATAGCAATTATGATTTTGTGGAATGCATGTACAATATTTATGTTGAATTTAATACCAAACACTTCTCATTTCAGTCCTTTGCAATGTCATCTTGCTCTGATGCTTTATACTTATTGAATTTTTTTTTTTAACTTTTGGACAATTGTTTTTTTAGATCAATTATCTTATTCCAGAAAATGAAAGTATTGGAAAAGGCACAAATACTATAATTTCTCTTGTTCATCATTATTTTGCTACACATGGTCTTGGTGAAAAGCGTGCTATTATTCATGCAGACAACTGTGTATGACAAAATAAAAACAATGCTATGATAAAATACTTGTGTTGGCGAGTAATGACTGGTTTGCATGAAAAAATCACATATAGTTTTATAGTTCCTAGTTACACAAAATTTGGACCAGATAGGTTTTTTGGCTTATTCAAATTAAAACTCAGAAATTCTGAAGTAGATGATTTAGAAGATTTAATGCGTGTTGTTGATCAATCTACTACTAGTGGATATAATAAGGCAGATACAGTTGTTAATTCTGATGGAATTAGGAGAGTTACATTTTATAATTGGAGTTAGTTTTTTAATTAGTTTTTTACTACTATTGCATCCATTCTTATACAGCATCATTTTACTATGTCTTGTGAATATCTAGGAAAAGTAAAAGTTCAAAAGTCATTTGATGGTAACGAAACTGAAATTATTATTGCATGGGTTTCTTCAATTCCAAGAACTAGAAATGGTAAATTAGTTTTTCCAGATACAATTACTCCACAGGGTATCAGCTTAGAAAGACAATGGTATTTGCATGATGAAATAGCACAACATATACAAAATCCTGCAAAATATAATATTTACTGTGTAATGCCCAATCAGCCCAAACCAAAAAAATCAAAAAATTTACAAAATTAAAATGAACGGTAATAGTAAATTTTTATTTGGAAGTTTGAAATTAAAATTATCTTTTTCTTTGAATAAAGTTATTCATTTAAATACTTTCTTTCTAAATAGAAGTTATCATAGCGATGATGGATATTCTTTTATTTCCAAACTACTGTAATACTATTTTCACCAAAAATAAGATAGTATTTTAATAGTATAGGGATTTAATACTTTATACAACTTATTTATTGTATAGCGAACAAATATGAAGAAGCTTTTAAATAGGAATAATCATGGGACAATTTATTGTACGATGGATTTTAAGTTCTTAAACAATAGAGTATTTACTGTATATAATTAGCTTGCGAATTAAATAGCAGATAGATAGATCATTTAGAAATTAATCTGATTATTTAGGGACATTAAGAAATAAATAAATTCGCAATAAATGCATTAATATAAACAATCCAAAATTCTATTTTAAGTTGTTTCAAAGATCCAGAATTTGCTATTTATAACAGTTGTGGTGATAATGGTGTATTATTTGCTATGTTATATTATTTATTATACAATTTGATACATATATACTGCTCTAAGCTTATTGTGTACCAAATATACTTACTCATTGCTAATACTACTAAAAAAAAACAATCTAACACTAATCTTACTGCTAACAAAGCCTAATTTCACCCATAACACTAACACTAACCAACCTAGGCTACAAAAAAGTCTTTGCCGCCATTTCATGTATTAAAAACACCATTATTTACAAGACCTTACTAATTACACCAATGTGGCGATAGTAAATGGTATTGGCACAAGGGGCCTAAAACACCCATATCAACAGAATTGCAGCAGCAGAAGAGACGAAAAGAAGTAAGAAACTATAAAATATCAATATCAACAGTGAAGGTCAGTAAATGTGAAGAAACCTATAAACAACAACACAATTAACGCAATGAAACGTTAACAACAAAGACAGAAATCTACAAGCAACAACGCATACAAGCAACTACCTATGACAATGACACTTACAACACCTACGAGTACGATATCTACAAGCAACAACTCCTATGATGGATATCTACAAGCAACGACAAGCAAAAGAAAGATCAGCACACCAAAAAATACACCCTATATATATAAAAAGGTAGATTAATAAATAAAATAAAAAATAAAAAAACCGATATATATCAGATATAATATTTGGATCCATGTAATATGTATGATATTAAGTACTTTATTTATATGGGATCTAATCACCCTTTGGGATTTTCTGATTGGGCTAATTCAGAAAAATTTGGACCAGATTGTCAGTTCTTATTCATATGTAAAACATCTTTTTACTTTACTGATTCAACAGTTTATTTTAGCAAAAAGTGATTATATATGAATAAGAACTGGCATTCTGGTCCAAACCTTTCCAAATTAGCCTGATCAGAAAATCCCGAAGGGTGATTTTCCTAGAGATCCCATATATCTGAACACATCATACCCGGGTCTTCTAAATATTTATTCTTATTTATATATCCGGGTCTTTTATATTTTACCGAAAATTGACTTCATACTATAGACCCAGGTCTAATTCATAGGAGATTTGATAATACGAAATTTTTGAATCATATAAACGAGCGCCAAAGTTTCTCTGCTAGTAAGTGATACAGAAATAGGGCGACCCTGAAGACGCTTTAAAAATGCTGATTATTAATACAAGCCTAAAATAGAGAAGTGTAAAATTAAACATATTTCCAAATTCTAATCATAAAGCTTTTCTGAATCAATAAGCTTACCACTTTAAAAAAATACCTTGTTCTTTTTTTATAACAAGCTAATAGTTTGAAAAAAAAACATAGAATCCGTAGAACTAAACTATATACAGTAATACCTCCATAAGTGCACGCTCGAGTTCTGGCCCAAATATATTCATGCTCTCTATAAATGCATGCTGTTAAAGCTTGGTCCCTAGAGCATGCATTTATAAAGGTTTTACTATACTATGAATTTTAAAATTTTGAACACACTATATCCAGATTTCATCATAAAAAGGCTGGCAGGTTCTTTTAATCTGTCCAGTAGTTAGAATTTGATTAGTTTTTTATAACTTAGACACAATGAGCGATTTAGGATCAATGCCTACAAACCTACCTGCTAGTTACTTGAACATAGTTCATTTCAACTTCTCTTTGCATTATTGGAGTAATACTTAGCTCGAGAAGCAATAAAAATACTTATGAAAAATTATAAGAAGACTTTAGTAAGGGAAAAAAAATCGTGCGATACATGAGTTAATAGAAATGGGACAAATCTATTAGATAGATTTGTTCCTTTTCTATTGACTTATGTTGATCATCACTGGGTCAATAGAAATAGGACAAATCTATCTAATAGATTTGTCCCTTTTCTATTGACCCAGTGACAATTGAAATTAGATCGGAGTGTTTAGCCAGATTTGGCCGGGTTGTTTCAGATTTTATCCAAATTTTGTGTAACATAATACAAAAACCTAATTTTCTCAAAATTGTGATTTACCCAATTTGTCTCTTTTCTATTGACTCCTCCCCAAATCATGATCGCATCAATTAAAGTTATGATGAAAGATTCTATCACTAATATATTTTTACAGAAATTATTATTGATTAGTTTTTATCGCTACAAAATTATTTTTATATTAGAGTACATAAAAAATATACTTTGATACTTTCTATGCATATTGGATAATTTATTTATTAATTGCTAAAAATGATTTATTAAGTTAATAATTTTATATTAACGATTTAATTAGAAATTCCTATCGCTACGTTTTCCTAATCTATTTAATATATATGATTTTAAAATTGCTAACCAATAAAATTTGTATTACACTTTTACCAATGAAATTTTGCACTATATTATCACAAGATAACCTATGATTAGAATTAATTATTTTTAATTTTTTAGTTATAATGAGTATTGTACATAATTTAGAAAATGCTATATATATATAAATTAGAACAGTATAGAAATTTTCTGGAATGCAATGGCAGAAAGATATGAAGATAGTTTTTTTAGGCAATTTTCTGGTTTGAAATGAAAATTATAAAATCAGCATATTTAAAATCTGTACTCTGTTTGTAGTCACGTAATGATGCTCAAATTTTATTAAAATATTAAAAATTTCCAAATATTTAAATTAAGATATCTCAACAATCACCCTAACAAATTTGATAAAACGTTTTATTTGAATTTTATTGGTTAATATAGACTGATAAAAAAAGTTTCATTGAATTTGATCAGGTGGGTATTGAAATAACTTTGTTAAAAGTTTGAGAAAAATTTGGTACAACTCTAATTTTGATAAGTAGTTTGATTTTTTAAAGACTTTAAGTGAAGATATCTTGACAGCCAAGTAACCAAATTTGATGAAAATTTTTTTATTTGAATTCTATAAATTATAAAATTCAAATAATATTAAATTTTGTTAGATAGTTATAAAAATGTTTTTGCTCAAATTTTAAGAAAAAATTTCAATACAGTTCTTATTTTGTAGGCAATTTGATTTTTTTTAAAAAAACTTTGAATAAAGTTATTTTGACAAACAGATAATTAAATTCAATAAAAATTTTTTATTTGAATTCTATAAATCCATAGAGTTCAAATAATAAGTGATTGTAGAGATATTTTTATTCAAATTTAAAGAAAATAAAAAACATCTATCAAAATAGAAGCTGTACCAAAATTTTTCAAAATTTGAGTAAAGATATCTTCACAAACACTTGATTAAGTTTAATAAACCCTTTTTATTTGAATTATATAATTTAAATAAAAAAAATTACTGAATTTAGTCATTTGGTTGTCAAGTTGTTTTTGCTCAAAGTTTTAAAAAGATCAAAATACAAGAACTGTACTAAATTTTTTTTCAAACTTTGAGCAAAGTATCTCATAACTACTAAGTTCAATAAACCTTTTTTTATTTGAATTCTGTGAATTTATAGAATTTAAATAAAAAATTTTCATCGAATCTGGTTATTTATTTGTCAAAATATCTTTGCTTAAGTTTTTTAAAAAAATCTAACTACCTATCAAAATTAGAGTTGAACAAATTTTTCTCAAACTTTAAATAATAATAACTTAATAATCACCTAATAAGATCTAATAATTTTTTTTTATTCTAATTGTATTATTTATAAATTCAAATAAAAAGAGTTTATTGAGGTGTGGCGACTTAGTGTAGTGGTCTAGTTATCACCTTTTCCAAGTGGCAGGTCTAGAGTTCAAATCCCACTGGCGACGATTTTGAAAAATAGATCTGTGTACAGTTGACGGCTTTCTATAGGTTGGATCCAGATTATCTGTAACCTTGGTCACACCATCTAGTAATAGAAGCTTCTGTGCAATAAATCTAGAGGACTGGAATAACCAAAAACCCATTTGGCAAGTCCCGAGTTTGGAGGTAGTAGCAATCTATGATGGTACTACAAAAGGGCTGAATTCGAACTAGGGCCCAAGATAAGAGAACTGAGCAATCAGGTCCTAATGGCAGAGGACATACTAGCTGAACTGCCGGGTTGTCGCTCTGGAGGAAAAGAACATACACTCCGAAAGTATGGACCAAGGGGAGGGTGTCCTTCAGGCACCTAAAGCCTAGGCAGACCAACCCTTCTGGGTTGCCAGCTGGAAGTAAGGAAGAGACCAATAAAGAATCAGGGTAAGAAGACAGTCTAAATGCAGAGTACTGGGGTGTTAGAAACTAAAACAAGGACAAGGAGTATATAATGAGCACCTAGTTAGGAAGGTTGGTGCTTGAGAAATGTCCATAGAATGGCAGCACCCCAAAAGGTGGCGTGAGATACAAATACGGAACAGCAGGTCAATATGTACTAATTAGAAAGAAGTTATAGGAACAAGTATATGAATACATGTGTGGGACATGTATCGCTATGTTAGATTTACCTCGAAGATAGTTAAATGTCCTAAGGTAGGATATAAAATCTACATTAAGTGATACCAAAATCTAACATATAAATAGTGAGGAAACCCACTTGGGTTAGAGGGCAGATAGAGGTAGTTAGAACTAGATGGTTTAAATAGGTATCCCCCTAGTTGGAGTGCAGGTACAGCAGATAGTGTAGAACCTTCAGGCAGACTACTTAAATAGGCACTCAAAAGGTGCATATATGGCTTGATGTATCATTGTTGCAATTATATATAAAACTTCATCTATACTCTAATAAAAAGTTCTCCAAACCAAAGAGATCACCTTAATACCAAAAAATAAAAAAATAAAAAAAGTTTTTTGAATTTATTTAAGAAGTTGTTAAGATATCTTGGTTTGAAGTTTTGAAAATTTTTGTTTTTTTAATAAAATTATGATCATTATCACATGACTACAAACTAATTTCAAATTTTAAATATGCATGTTTGCAAATTATTAAGATTACTTTTTTAATTTAATCTTTTATAAATAGCAATTTTTTTTAATTTGTTAGGGATTTGCTTGCAAGTATACTTATATGCAAAGTGCAAAACACAAATTATAGTATTATAAAAATAATGCTTGGTTATGCTGATTAACTATTAATAAAATTTATAGTTATGTTTAATTGCTTTTATTTCAGTATAAAAAGATTATAAATTATATATAGATTTAGCTAATTGCTATAATAATAATCTTTTATTTATCAAAAATACTACAAGTTGGAGTTAGAATCTTGCAGCCTAGTGGTCTAGACACTCAACCCTCTATGAGTAAGTTTTGGGTTTAAGTCCTGTAAATATAGTTTCTATAAATATTTGAATATATTTACATGTGAAAAGTTTAAGTAGGTATATATTTGAAATAAAAATTTTTAAAAAAAAGTTCATTATAAAGAGTTGGCACTATATATAACTAATAAATATTATGAAGGTTCTATTATACAAAAATTGTGCATATAAATCTTCAGTTGGCATAAGTAGCACCAACAACCCTAAGGTGGCATTAGGATTTTGTTTATATGAATAACCAGATAATAACTAGAATTGAAGTAGTAAGAAAAGTGGTGAAATGCAAAGGAACTTGTAGTAAAAAATTGGCTTTACCAAATATAAAATATCTCTAGCATATACTACTTTAGTAGATTGGTTATTGCAAATAAAAAAAATAGTTACATAATTTTTGCTCAATAAGATTGCAAGATTAGATATAATAAAATCAAATCAAAACAAATCAAAATAATTAAAATAAAATAAAATATTAAAACACAACTTTTTTTTTTATAAAATTAGTTGAAGATAGTAAAAAGCAAATTATATATCAAAATTTTACAAGAAAAGTTTTTTATTAGAAAGTAAAAACAGTTTTATATGCAAAATTTTGAGTTATTAACAATTTTTTAAAAAAACAAACCATAATCTTTATATAACTTTTATATTATATTTAACCTTGCAACTAATTGAGCAAAAATCATATAATTGTTTTTTTATTTGATATGACTAATTTACTTATACTACTTATCTAATTTGAAAAGGAATAAACTTTTATAGAAAGTTGGCTAAAACTTGAAATATATATAAAAATCTAAATTGGCTAAAAGTATTAAGCTAGGAGTATAGTAATATATGAATAAGAAAAAAACACTAGCAAATTTAAACACCAAGCTAGTGTTAGCACTAGATATATGTTTAACTTTTTTTATATTATTGGACTAGATATTGGACATAATACTTGGATATATATCTAGTTCAATACCAAACAACTAATTTAAAAGTGTTATAGTATACAAGTTTTAATTAAATCTATATTTCTAAAGGTCTCAAAACTTTAAAATACCAAAGTTGAGGAAATACCAAATATATTTGAAAGATATTTTGAAACAATTTGAAAAGGCTGTTGCTAGAAGTAAAGATACCAGATGTACAATATAATATAATAAGATAGTTATTACATTCTGCTTTACAATTATAACTACTATTTATTAATATATAGGAATCTGTTATCTAGAATTGGCAATGCATAAAATATATACAATTTGAAGCAGCATCATTATAATCTTGAATTTAAAAATAGTTATAAAGTTATGAGGCTTTTGAAAGAGTATCAGATATGAAAGTTGTATATGAGTAATATAAAAGATGTAGAAATATAATAAGTACAAATTAGAATTTAGTAATTAAAATCTAGATAATATATAGTGTAAATATAATACTATAGTAGTTTTTTTTAGGTTGCAGATTGTTTAAAACCAGTTTGAGTTTCTTGTATTTGTAAAACAACATATAGGGTGCTGTCAGTTAAAAGGGGGGCTTATAGCATTTTTTGCAAAAATGAGTTAATTATATTATCATATAAAGAAAGTATTCTTCTATATAATTTGATATTTAAAATATCGATTTACATAATAAAGTTTTGTCGATGCCTACTTTTTTAAATGCCGTATACAATTAGATGTAATCTAAAATTGAAATTTAGAAATCTAGTTGTCGATTTTTGCTGAGGGTCATAGAAAAGCATTTATTTGATTGGCTAATTTATGTCGATCCAACAGGTTTTACTAATAATAGATTGTCATTGTTATTGTTATACCAAATTTGAAATGTGATTTTCGCAAAATAGAAAAAATGCTATAAGCCCTCTTTTAACTAACTGTGCCTCATATAAGTATTATATAATATTTTTAAAAAAATTACAAGTTATTAATATTAATATACTCTTTTTAGTTTTTGAATATATTAAAATAAATTTTATAATTATTAGTTTGATATTATTATTTATAATTTATATTGTATTTAAAATAAGACTATATATAACTAAGAATATTAAAATAAATTACAATATTATTTTTGCTACTATATTTTTTTAAAATAAGCTACTATTTTTGAGAAAAAATTATATAAATTTTTTAAGATAGCTTATTTAAATAAAAATAATTTTTGATCTTTTTATTAAGCTTAAGTAGTTTATATATATATAGTTGTGCTTCTATATAATTACCTCTTCTATAATTACATTATATAAATACTTCTCTTTATTAATTATATAAGAGCATGACTATATATGTTAAAATTATACTAAATAAATAAATATTTGTTAATTAATTAAAGTTGTTAGAATGTAGCAACTTAGTTAATGTTGTTAGCCGAAATTGTTTTATACTTGTAGAAATATTTCGATATTTGATATTTAGTCTGCCAAAATGTCTAAATATTGCTGAAATCCTAAATTATGCGAAATGTCTAAATAATGTCGAAATATCTAAATTAAGAAATATATATGAAAAAATATAAAGAAATTAGGGCTATTAATCAGTTCCAACTAAAGCTGCCAGTCCTGTGGTCCTCTTTAGAACCGGGCCAATCTGGTCTTTTATAGACCAGACAGACCAAAAAGACTATTGGTCTGAATATAGTAGCTTTAAATTATTGTAACAAACATATGTAGCCTAATTTTTTGTATATGGGGGAAGTCAATAGAAAAGAGACAAATCGGGTAAATCACAATTTTGAGAAAATCAGGTTTTTGTATTATGTTACACAAAATTTGGATAAAATCCGAAACAACCCGGCCAAATCCAGCTAAACACTCTGATCTAATTTTGATTATCACTGGGTTAATAGAAAAGGGACAAATCTATTAGATAGATTTGTCCTTTTTCTATTAACCCAGTGATAATCAACATGAGTCAATAGAAAAGGGACAAATCTATCTAATAGATTTGTCCCATTTCTATTGACTCATGTATCACACAATTTTTTTTCTCTTACTAAAGTCTTCTTATAATTTTTCATAAGTATTTTTATTGCTTCTCAAGCTAAGTATTACTCCAATAATGCAAAGAGAAGTTGAAATGAACTATGTTCAAGTAACTAGCAGATAGGTTTGTAGGCATTGATCCTAAATCGCTCATTGTGTAAAAAACTAACCAAATTCTAACTACTGGACAGATCAAAGGAACCTGCCAGCCTTTTTATGATGAAATCTGGATATAGTGTGTTCAAAATTTTAAAATTCATAGTACAGTAAAACCTCTATAAATGCACGCTCTTGGGACCAAGCTTTAACAGTGTGCATTTAGAGGGAGTATGAATATATTTGGGCCAGAACTCGAGTGTGCATTTATGGAGGTTTTACTATATATAGTTTAGTTCTACAGATTCTATGTTTTTTTTTCAAACCGTTAGCTTGTTATAAAAAAAGAACAAGATATTTTTTTAAAGTGATAAAGCTTATTGATTCAGAAAAGCTTTATGATTAGAATTTAGAAATATGTTTAATTTTACGCTTCTCTATTTTAGGCTTGTTTAATAATCAGCGTTTTTAAAGCATCTTCAGGACCACCCCAATTCTGTATCACTCACTAGCAGAGAAACTTTGGCGCTTATTGATTGTGGTTTATATGATTCAAAAATTTTGTATTATCAGATCCCCTATGAATTAGACCCGGGTCTATAGTATGAGGTCAATTTTCAGTAAAATGTAAAAGACCCGGGTATATAAACAGGAATAAATATTAGAAGACCCGGGTATGATGTGTTTAGATATATGGGATCTTTAGGAAAATCACCCTTTAGGATTTTCCGATCGGGCTAATTCAGAAAGGTTTAGACCAGAATGCCAGTCCTTATTCATATGTAATCACCTTTTGCTATATTTATTTGATAGTTTATTAAATAAACTATTGAATCAGTAAAGTAAAAAGATGTTTTATATATGAATAAGAACTGATATTCTGGTCCAAATTAGCCTGATCAGAAAATTTCAAAGGGTGATTAGATCCCATATAAATAAAGCACTTAACATCATACATATTACATGAATCCAAATATTATATCTGATATGTATCAGTTTTTTTATTTTTTATTTTATTTATTAATATATATATAGGGTGTATTTTTTGGTATGCTGATCTTTCTTTCACTTGTCATTGCTTATAAATATCCATCGTAGGAGTTGTTGCTTGTAAATGTCGTACTCATAGGTGTCATAAGTGTCATTGTCATAGGTAGTTGCTTGTATGCATTGTTGCTTGTAGATTTCCGTCTTTGCTGTTAACGTTTCATTGCATTAATTGGCGTTGTTGTTTATAGGTTTCTTCACATTTACTGACCTTCACTATTGGTATTGATATTTTGTAGTTTCTTACTTTTTTTCATCTCTTTTGCTGCTGCAATTCTGTTGATATGGGTGTTTTAGGCCCCTTGTGCCAATACCATTTACTATCGCCACATTGGTGTAATTAGTAAGATCTTGTAAATAATGGTGTTTTTAATACATGAAATGGTGGCAGAGACTTTTTTGTAGCCTAGGTTGGTTAGTGTTAGTGTTGTGGGTGAAATTAGGCTTTGTTAGCAGTAAGATTAGTGTTAGATTGTTTTTTTTAGTAGTATTAGCGATGAGTAAGTGTATTCGATACACAATAAGCTTAGAGCAGTATATATGTATCAAATTGTATAATAAATAATATAACATAGCAAATAATACACCGTTATCACCACAACTGTTATAAATAGCAAATTCTGGATCTTTGACACAACTTAAAATAGAATTTTGGATTGTTTATATCAATGCATTTATTGCGTATTTATTTATTTCTTAATGTTTCTAAATAATTGGATTAATTTCTAAATAATCTATCTGCTATTTAATTCTCAAGCTAATTACATACAGTAAATACTCTATTGTTTAAGAACTTAAAATCCATTGTACAATAAATTGTCCCATGATTATTCCTATTTAAAAGCTTCTTCATATTTGTTTGCTATGCAATAAATAAGTTGTATAAAGTATTAAATCCCTATACTATTAAAATACTATCTTATTTCTGGTGAAAATAGTATTACAGTGGTTCAGAACTAAAAGAATATCCATCATTGCCATGATAACTTCTATTTAGAAAGAAAGTATTTATATGAATAACTTTATTCAAAAAAAAAGATAATTTTAATTTCAAACTTCCAAATAAAAATTTACTATTACCGTTCATTGTAAATTTTTTGATTTTTTTGGTTTGAGCTGATTGGGCATTGTACAGTAAATATTACATTTTGCAGGATTTTGTATATGTTGTACTATTTCATTGTGCAAATACCATTGTCTTTCTAAGCTAATACCCTGTGGAGTAATTGTATCTGAAAAAACTAATTTACCATTTCTAGTTCTTGGAAATAAAGAAACCTGTGCAATAATAATTTCAGTTTTGTTACTATCAAATGACTTTCGAACTTTTACTTTTCCTGGATATTCACAAGACATAGTAAAATGATGCTGTATGAGAATGGACGGAATAGTAGTCAAAAAACTGACTCCAATTATAAAATGTAACTCTTCTAATTCCATCAGAATTAACAACTGTATCTGCCTTATTATATCCACCAGTAGTAGATTGATCAACAACATGCATTAAATCTTCTAAATCATCTATTTCGGAATTTCTGAGTTTTAATTTGAATAAGCCAAAAAACCCATCTGGTCCAAATTTTGTGTGACCAGGAACTATAAAACTATATGTTATTTTTTTATGCAAACCAGTCATTACTCGCCAAAACAAGTATTTTATCATAGCATTGTTTTTATTTTGTCCCACACAGTTATCTGCATAAATAATAGCACGCTTTTTACCAAGGCCATGTGTAGCAAAATAATGATGAACAAGAGAAATTACAGTATTTGTGCCTTTTCCGATACTTTCGTTTTCTGGAATAAGATAATTGATCTAAAAAAACAATTGTCCAAAAGTTAAAAAAAAAAATTCAATAAGTATAAAGCATCAGAGCAAGATGACATTGCAAAGGACTGAAATGGGAAGTGTTTGGTATTAAATTCAACATAAATATTGTACATGTATTCCACAAAATTATAATTGCTATCCACTCATTAAATATGTTTGAATCATTAAACATATTTGCTCTAATATACACAGACTAAATTAATGAATCGGGTGCATACTGGAAGACAAGTTTCCTGTTTTGTACCCGATAGTCTGCAGCATATTGGCAAAATATTGATAAGATAACAGGATATTGGTAACATAATAGCACAATATTAGAATACCCTGATATCTTAATCTTAGCACTCTGGGCCTAAAAGTAAGCTATCGAGATATCCCAATATTTTACTATTATGTTGCTGATATCGATCTACCTTTTTGTTACCTTATCAATATTCTGCTAATATGCTGCTGATATGTATTCAGTAGGTATTTGGTGAATCCATAACAGACTATCAGATACATACAGGAAACTTGTTTCCAAGTATGCACCTGATATTTATTGATTCAACCTGTGATAATATATATACTATATTTGAAAAGTATTATTCTAAGAATTTTTATTTTCTTTCTCATACGTATCATCGCTTCTTAGGTAATTGATTAGAGTCAGAGAGCAGTATTACTAATTTTAGTCAGTATTATAGATTTAAATAGAAACCCAAAATTTCAACATAATCTCTTATAATAGGCCCTTTTAAAATACAAGTTCTCCATTATGGCAATTACTCAGAGAGACAAGTCTAGGACATAAGTTTCCATCTCTAGTAGAAGAAAATAAAAATAACTTTAAAAAACAATATGAATTAACGAACACTTAGTCTATTTTTATTCATAACTAACCAGAAATAGGAAATTATGCTCAGTGACTTGCCTCTCAGAGTAATTGCTGTAATAGGGAACTTGTATTTTAAAAAGGGCCAATAAATAATTTATTTTTGTTTATGTATGTATGGTACTATTAAGAGAAAATTTGTCATTAGGTATTTTGTTTCTAGTTTGTTTTCTGAGTAACTCATAAAACAAAATATAATTTGAAAGCCTGATATAGGTTTTCTCTTGATAGCACTTATATATTAAATTTCTTGAATGAGATAATTCTTTTTACAACTATTAAGTGGTTGTTAAAATTAGTGCTTGGATCTGGTTTACAAAATCCAAATATATCCGGATATAAAGAAGATAAGAGGATAATCAATTAGCAAGTAGCCCCATCCCAATACAATAAGAGAGAAGAACATTAGTAATTGGTCAATTAATCATGTTTATAAGAATCACAAACTGATTAAAATATTGATTATCTTTTTCTATTTTTGTTAGAATAACCCGATTCTCGTGGCACTGCATTATACGATCCCAGATTTTTGAATCTTTTGCTATTAGAATTTAAAATTGGAAGCCAGTCTTGACATTTCATAACACATGACCCTGAATTGAGCTGTGGAACCAACCCAAGTTAAAGAAGGATTATTAGTATTCGACTAAAATAGAACTTCTGCAAGTAATAAAGACTGATCTGAAGCCCAGCAAGACCCTAAAAGACCCGGACCAAATCTTTCCATGCCTCTTTGGTAACAGTAAATTAGCCCTTCATAATATATGTACAGTGTTGCTAAATGAGCATATTCATTGGTAATTGTCACATATTTTTATTATGCTATTTATCACTGATCAATAAATAATTTAATAAAAAGATGCGACAATTACCGATAGACATGTTCATTAACAACAATGTATCATATGTACGTATATACTTACATATATACAGTTAATACAGTAATTTAGTTAATTTGAGATCTGCTTGAACACTTAGTAATCTGGGTTATATCCAGATTTTAATCCTAAATTTTTTTTTGTATCCAGATATCCGGTTATATATCCGGATCCAAGCACTAGTTAAAATCAACTTGGAGCTAAAGTTGTTTATTAAATGAGAGCTGCACAGAGAAAACCTGTAAGTAAAATTTAATTCATTAAAAATATTGTACAATTTTGACCAATCAAATTTCAAGATCAGGCTGATCTTGAAATTTGATTGGTCAAAATCATACAATATTTTTATCGAATTAAATTTTACTTACAGGTTTTCCCTGTGTAGCTCTCAAATAGCATACTCCAGAGTTACTTCAGATTAAATTAGTTTAAAATATTTAAAGTAACTCAGAACAAGGCTAAAGCAAGCCCAGAGTAAAATCTGAAATAAAGTTAATTTAATAAAGGTGAGATTGAATTAACCTAACCCTAACTCACTACAATAACAACTCTACTTGCACTAGTAAAATTTAAAAAATCGCCATTTTGAATAGAAGTTTGAATGTTAATTCGAATTGTGTCATTCAAATATGACAAATTTTTTAAATTTTATAATCGTTAAACAGCTCGACTAAAAGCTAACTCAAGGCAGACCAATCAAAGATCCCTAGCTAATTGTTTACAAATTTACCTGTTGTGGTATTGCTTCCTCACATATGTCGAATACTTCAACCTTGTAAAGCGATTTGAAATATGTTGCCCCTTCTTGCTGTGAAGAGTAAGGGATTAATATATTCTCTGCGAAGTCTCACATCAGCAAAAATAAATAGGCGTAAACCTCCGCAAGTTTTTACGCGAGCATAAACTTACGAAAATTTATGATTAGTTCAGAGTATTACGTAGGTGTAATAATTAAGAAAGTTTACGCTATAGTAACTCCAGAATATTACGTAAGTGTAATAATTATGAACATTTATGGCATAGTAAATTTAAATATAGCAAAACGTAAATAGTTAAAAACTAGCGAAAACATGCGTAAAACGATGAATATTTACGAACAATGAAAATCAAATCAAGCGAAAACTGAGAAAACATGCGTAAATTTGTGTAAAGTAATAAGAAATTACGAATAAAAATATCAAAAAGAAGCAAAAATATCAATTATAAATCAAATAAATTAATAGTATAAAATTTCAAATGTAATAATTTTATTGTTTTCGTAAATATACGAAAAAGTTGTAATAGTTTAGTAGTATTTGAAAAATTGTATAAAATATAAACTAAGTAATTACATAATATATAATTTTTTAGAAACAAATTAAAATT